CACCTCAGCCCAGGGATTCCCTTTCCTAAGGGAATAAACCGGGGCAGAAATAATGCCCCGGTTATAAAATAATATATATAATTATATAAAATATATATATAATATATATAAAATATATATATAAAATATATATTATATATTTATATATTTTTATATATTTATATTTATATATAATATAAATATTTAATATTTATAAATATTTAATATAATATATAATTAAATATAATATTTAATTGTATTAATTATATTTTTATTATATTAAATTTTATAAATTTTATTATATTAAATATTTAATATATAAGTAAATATAATATTTATAAATATTTAATATTTATATATTTATATTTATATATTTTAATTTTATATATTTATATAATATAATATATATATATATATATAATATATATAAAATAATGAATAATTGTCTTGGTTTGGAAAGCCAGGAGTCTGCTGAGGAAGGCAGGATCCTCCCCTGAAATGGAAAATGTAAACCCTCCCCACCTCTCTCTAAATTGCTGTAAATTTTAAATTAAGGAGCTCTCAGGCAAAAACATAGGAGCAGGAAATAACAGTTCCTTAATAGGAAATGGAAAAAAAATAAAAGGATAAAATAAACAATGCAGTTGTCTTGGTTTGGAAAGCCAGGAGTCTGCTGAGGAAGGCAGGAGCCTCCCCTGAAATGGAAAATGTAAACCCCATCCCTCTGAATTGCTGTAAATTTTAAATTAAGTAGCTCTCAGGCAAAAATATGGGAGCAGGAAATAACAGTTAGGAACAGGAAAAGGAAAAATAAAAGGATAAAATAAACAATGCAGTGAACTAAACCAACACTGCCAGAGTCAGAGCCCAACCTGACACCCTGTGGGTCAGGCTGTTGGCAGCAGTGCCATTGGAATTGTGGCTCAGCCCTCCTGCAGTGTCAGGGCTGGTTCTGCTGGAGCAGGATCCTGGAGAAAGGTGCAGTCTCTGCCTCTGGAGATCCAGGGGAAGGAGAGGCAGCTGCTGCTCCTCTGGGCAATCCAGTGCAGAAGCTGTGCTGGTGTTCCAGAATCTCCAGATTGTATCCGGGTAGGAATGTTTGAAATTTCAGATTATATCCAGGTAGGAATGTGTGAAATTTCAGATTATATCCAGGTAGGAATGTGTGAAATCTCCAGATTATATCCGTGTAGGAATGTTTGAAATTTCAGATTGTATCCGGGTAGGAATGCTTGGCTCCTCCCTCTGGGCTCACATCTCCCAATGGGATGCTGTGGTTCTTATCAGCCATGCAGGGACATTCAGTGGCTGTTATCAGCAGATGTCCCTTCCCAGGGAGGAGTGATTGTGGTCACTCAGAGAGAGATAAGCCAAACTGCCACTTGACAAAAGATAATCTGCCATACAGATGGTAATGGAAAACATCTTGCATGGCAATGTTCAACAATAATAAAATGATCAAATGGTTTGGGGCTTGGGAGGGATCTTAAATCTCATTTTTTTCCCACGTGCAGGGACACCTTCCACTATCCCTGGCTGGGCTTGGACACTCCCAGGCCACGTTTTCTGTGGGAAAGCTGTTCCAGTGCCTCAACATCCTCACCCTGAACCAAACTCTGTGTCTGGTCCCTGCTGTGCGTGGAGCTGCACAACCACTGCGAATCAAAGCCTCCAAAGCCACATTCACCATCATCCCCTGGTCCCTCTGCATCAGTAGAGAGATTATGGAGCAGCAGGACATGGATTCTTCCAGGAATAAATGAGTTTTTCTCTGCCAGGTAAGTACACCCACATTTTATTAATTTTAATTTTTAAAATAACCAGCCCTCCCTCTTCATTGAGATGGGATTTCCTCTAAGACCCTGTGTTGGGAAGATTTAGGAGATTGTGAAGAGGAAAGGTTCCTTTGTGTGTAAAATCCACCTTTTCCAGGTGTTTGGGGTTGGTTTTTTTCCCTAAAATCTTCCCTTTGTCCTGCCAAGCTTTGCTCCTGCCCTGGACCCACCCATTACCTGGCTGCCAGGTGAGGCAGCCTCTGGGAGCTGATCTGCTGATCTTTGGGAAATTGGGAAAATTGGGTTTGGAAAATTCGGTTTGGAAGCTTTAAAAGCAACCAGAAAGCCATGGGTTTGGAGATGTTTGGATTTTATTAAAAAAAGACATGGATTTGAGATGGTTTGGGGTTTTTAGAAGAAAGCCGTGGGTTTGGAGATTGTTGGGTTTTTAAAAGAAAACTGTGGGTTTAGAGATGTTTGGTTTTTATTAAAAAAAGCCATGGATTTGAGATGGTTTGGGATTTTTAGAAGAAAGCCATGGGTTTGGAGATTTTGGGTTTTTAAAAGAAACCTGTGGGTCTGGAGATGGTTTGGGTTTTTCAAAAGACAGCCATGGGTTTGAGATGGTTTGGGGTTTTTAGAAGAAAGCCATGGGTTTGGAGATTTTGAGTTTTTTAAAAGAGACCTGTGGGTCTGGAGATGGTTTGGGTTTTTTGAAGAAAGCCATGGCTTTGAGATGGTTTGGGTTTTTTGAAGAAAGCCATGGGTTTGAAGATGGTTTGGGTTTTTAGAAGAAAGCCATGGGTTTGGAGATTTTGGGTTTTTAGAAGAAAACTGTGGGTTTGGAGATGTTTGGATTTTATTAAAAAAAGCCATGGATTTGAGATGGTTTGGGGTTTTTAGAAGAAAGCCATGGGTTTGGAGATGGTTTGGGGTTTTTAGAAGAAAGCCATGGGTTTGGAGATTTTGGGTTTTTTAAAAGAGACCTGTGGGTCTGGAGATGGTTTGGGGTTTTTGAAGAAAGCCATGGGTTTGGAGATTTTTGGGGTTTTTAGAAGAAAGCCATGGGTTTGGAGATTTTGGGTTTTTTAGAAGAAAGCCATGGGTTTGGAGATTTTGGGTTTTTAAAAGAAAACTGTGGGTTTGGAGATGTTTGGTTTTTATTAAAAAAAGCCATGGATTTGAAATGGTTTGGGTTTTTTAGAAGAAAGCCATGGTTTTGGAGATTGTTGGGTTTTTAAAAGAAACCTGTGGGTCTGGAGATGGTTTGGGGTTTTTAGAAGAAAGCCATGGGTTTGGAGATTTTGGGTTTTTTAAAAGAGACCTGTGGGTCTGGAGACAGTTTGGGTTTTTAGAAGAAAGCCATGGCTTTGGAGATGTTTGGGGTTTTTAGAAGAAAGCCATGGCTTTGGAGATTGTTGGGTTTTTAAAAGAAAACTGTGGGTTTGGAGATGTTTGGTTTTTATTAAAAAAATAAATGGATTTGAGATGGTTTGGGTTTTTTAGAAGAAAGCCATGGCTTTGGAGATTTTTGGGTTTTTAAAAGAAAACTGTGGGTTTGGAGATGTTTGGTTTTTATTAAAAAAAAGCCATGGATTTGAGATGGTTTGGGGTTTTTAGAAGAAAGCCATGGGTTTGGAGATTTTGGGTTTTTTTAAAAGAAACCTGTGGGTCTGGAGATGGTTTGGGTTTTTAGAAGAAAGCCATGGGTTTGGAGATGTTTGGGTTTTTTTAAAAGAAACCTGTGGGTCTGGAGATGGTTTGGGTTTTTTGAAGAAAGCCATGGGATTGAAGATGGTTTGGGTTTTTTGAAGAAAGCCATGGGTTTGAGATGGTTTGGGTTTTTCAAAAGACAGCCATGGGTTTGGAGACTTTTGGGTTCTTTAGAAGAAGGCCATGGGTTTGAGATGGTTTGGATTTTTTAGTAGAGAGCCATGGCTTTGGAGGTGGTTTGGGTTTTTTGAAAGAGACTTGTAGGCCTGGAGATGGTTTGGTTTTTTTTAAAGAGAGCCATGGGTTTGGAGATGTTTGGGTTTTTTAAAAGCAAACCAGAGAGCCATGGCTTTGGAGATTATTTGGGTTTTTTAAAAGAAAACCATGGCTTTAAGATGGTTTTGGTTCTTTAAAAGAAAGCCGTGGTTTTGAGATGGTTTGGGTTCTTTAAAAGAAAACTGTGGGTTTGGAGATGGTTTTGGTTCTTTAAAAGAAAACTGTGGGTTTGGAGATGGTTTGGGTTTTTTAAAAGAGAGCCATGGGTTTGGAGATTTTTAGGTTTTTTAAAAGAAAACCAGAGAGCCATGGCTTTGGAGATTATTTGGGATTTTTAAAAGAAAGCCGTAGGTTTGAAAATGGTTTGGATTTTTTAAAGAAATCCATGGGCTTGAGATGGTTTGGGATTTTTAAAAGAGAGCCATGGCTTTGGAGATGGTTTGGGGTTTTTAAAAGAAAACTGTGGGTTTGAGATGTTTGGGTTTTTTAAAAGCAAACCAGAGAGCTGTAGCTTTGGAAATTTTTGGGTTTTTAAAAGAAGAGCCATGGGTTTGGGTTTTTTTAGAAGAAAACCATGGCTTTAAGATGGTTTGGGGTTTTTTAGAAGAAAGCCAAGGCTTTGGAGTTGTTTGGGGTTTTTTTAGAAGGAAGCCAAGGCTTTGGAGATATTTGGATTTTTTTTTAGAAGAAAGCCATGGGTTTGGAGATGTTTGGGTATTTTTTAGAAGAAAGCCATGGCTTTGGAGATATTTGGGGTTTTTTTAGAAGAAAGCCATGGCTTTGGAGATATTTGGGGTTTTTACAAGAAAACCATGGCTTTAAGATGGTTTGGGGTTTTTTTTAGAAGAAAGCCATGGCTTTAAGATGGTTTGGGGTTTTTTTAAAAGAAAACCATGGCTTTAAGATGGTTTGGTTTTTTTTTTAGAATAAAGCCATGGCTTTGGAGATATTTGGGTGTTTTTTAGAAGAAAGCCATGGTTTGGAGCTATTTGGGGTTTTTTAGAAGAAAGCCATGGCTTTAAGATGGTTTGGGTTTTTTTTTAGAAGAAAGCCATGGCTTTGGAGATGTTTTGGGTTTTTTTAGAAGAAAACCATGGCTTTAAGA